ACACACTTATTAAACTTCACAATAAATATTGGATTTTAATCCAGATCAGGTAATTAGGAAAATTATGGACTTGCACACACATTAACCTGACTTTTGACCTGGAGACGCCATGTGTCTCCTTCCATGGTCAAAAGGCGAAATCTCGAAACAACATTCTCCTTGAAATAATATTATCACATCATTCAAAGTCTTTCACGTAGGTGTGTTATTTTACGTGAAATGCCAAAGATGCTTTTATGGCACTCTAGCCTATTCTGGCTGCAAAAGTTACTCTTATTCAAAGTTACTTTCGCTTACATTGTTTAATATCCAAAGCTGTGTAATGGCACCTGAGAAAATGTAATAAGAATGGAGGGGAGAGTGGATGATACGAAGTATATTTCTAACAAAAAATGTTGAAGATGTTGTCAGGAGGAGAGAGCACTGTATTTTTTATCTCATGGAACGAACGAAAGAGAATCTCTATTGTGTTCTAGGAACATCGTGTTTACCTAGGGAGGATAGGGAGATGAAGGAGGTATTGGAATGTTTTTCGATTTTTTTTAGAGGTTATATGGTCTTGGGAATACGTTTCTTTTGGCAAATAATTCCAAAGCTTTACTGTTCTATAGACTAACGGGTTTTGATAAGAGTTGTTCGACATATTACGAGGTTGAGGACGAAAGGATGGTCTGTCTGAACTTGTTGAGTTCGTCTGACGTATTGCTACAGATGGAGATATCAGTGAAAAAAAATATTTCATTATTTCGAAGTACTAACCCTAACTAGTTCATTCCATTCTCCTTGTCTGTAAGACAAGTGCAAAAATATTTCTGATTGTCATTTCAATCAAAATATGAAAAATGTTAGTCTCCTCAGAAGGTGCTCGCCTCAGACTCTACTGGAGATAACAGAGAACACAACATACAACTGAAGAATCAGATAATAAAAGGAATTTCTCTGAATATTCGCATCTTGACTAGATGAAACAAAGATTTGATGAAGGTGACGTTAGGAAGTTAGATTGACAATGTAGTTCGTCTTTTTCTTCTCTTCTTGTATTTCTGGGAACTCTAGGCAGTACGCTGTTGCCAGTGCCCCAAAATAATTTGGGTTTAAATAAAATCTCGATCATTATCAGGAATACTAGGATTTTCTTATTGGTACTGAAGCATCTTGCAAGTATATAAGTATTCAATAAGTGATTGTTAGGGACCAGGTCGAACAATTGTCTTCTGTGAATTAGAATACTGTTGTCATTTGTCATATTGAGTCTCACAAGGTAATTACTAGTTACAAATCTGGCAGCGTCGAAATATGTGGTCTTACTTTTCATGCGAAAGACAGAATTCAGATAACGATGACTTTCGGTTCGGTTCATGACGTCATCGAAGCTGGTTATTGCAACGTGCCGAATTTAATTATTGAAAGAAAAACTATTTATACACGGAATGATCAATACTAAATAGGTTTGTGGCGTAAATTCAACTACTGTATACAACCCCATTATCTGTAAAATAGTGGAATGTCGCCATTTTCCTACGGTGTTCTAATTATGTCAAGGAATTAGTGATCGTGGCATCGAATACGTCTTTTTGCTTTGGTCTAGTTTGAGATAATTAACAGGAAGTTGTGCCTGAGCTTTGTTGGATATATTCATATGGACATCGATGTTGTTTCGATTGTATTTATCGTATTACAAAAAGTGTGCTTCATTCAATTTCATAACGTATCTTCCGCAATCCTGACAGATTACGAAGGTGCTCAAAGTTGTATGTTATTTCTCAGATCTTTTATCCGGAAGTGATAGGACGAGACATAATATGAGCGAACTTCTATTTCCACAGACATGTTTCTTCTGCAGCGAATAAATTTAGACGAATAAGAATATTTATCTCAATAATAACGACTAGTCTCGCTTGTAGGGTCTGTCAGCCGATTGAATATATAATATTTTTATATCCATGGCAACTTATGTGCCTAGCCGGCCTTAGCTGACGAGTTAGGAGAGTTTATCATTGAGTTAACAAAGAAGTTCATTCAATCCTCTAAATTAGCGCACGGAATTACCATGCACCAAATAACCTAATTTGATCCTTAGTTCCACAAAATGTGATAATATGCTAATCTAATCGGTTTGTTTGTTTTAGTTCTGCTTGATAGTTTGAGGTATATTAAAACATTAAATCAACTGTGCATGAGTCTAGTTAGTTTCCATTCTATATATTGTTGAAATTGATTGAATACCTTGAGGGAAACATAAAAAACAACGAGAACAAGTTCTATTATTTCCTAATATTCTATGATTTACCAAAATGTGGTACAAGATCCAGAATTCTGATCGAATTATTAAATGTCAGTAGATAGTAAATCAAAAGTTGAGATACGGATATGAAAGTCGTTTCGACCAATAATAAATAGTTTCTCGTCACAGAAAAATCCTAAAGTTGAAAAATCTCGATTATGAACATCCTATATCTCTGTAATCATTTTCGCTAGACCCCAAGTGATACATTGATGAAAGCTCTTCAGGGAGAATCTAAAAATACAATGAAAAATTGGGTGTTCCATTTAAAAAATCAAATTAATAGTACCCTGTAGATCGTTTGTTCCGAGCACCTTGTATTTTCTGATGTAGCGGAAAAAACTCTATCAAAAATCATTTTAGGTAGATGATATTTAAAATTTTGCAATCGGTTCAGAAATGACTGAGCTAGAGGGAGGGAGCCTTTATTGTGAATCACCTTGTATACCCGTAAGCCCACTACCAACGCAAACGTGGAAAAACGAGAAACGCGCATGCGTAGCTGTCAATCTACGTTTACGTTAACGTTCAGGGCAGTATTTCAACTCTCTATTCGCGAGATTCACGAAGTGGGCGACATCTAGGTTACATAATACGAACTTCAAACTGGGGGAAAACAAACTGCTGTCTATGGATAAAGTGCATAGACTACATTGCATTCAGCTTGCTGTAGCTGTAGTCAAACTTGTCAATGACATAAAGTGTTGACACTATTGTTAGTGATGGATGGTTGAGTTGGTTTATTTTTTTACATTATTACATTTTTATTAGCTTAGTGAACAGTGAACGGGTGAAGAATTGGAGATAGTTCAAACAATTCAAACTAATTATGACGAGCAAATAAATTGACATATAAAAGATCAGCTACAACATGTTCACAATACCCAGATTGTCCTGCTTTGCATGAACAAATACAAATTCATTGTTCTACAGGAGTTCATCTGGACCCCAACTTCAATTTTACTTCATGTGGGGAAGATTTCATCGCCGATGTTTGTAGACAAAGTGCAAAAATGTGCCTTTTGTTGAAGTCTTCTGCCTCACACAAAATCACATGATTAACACGGAGAACTGCTTCACCCTTGCTTCACCTACCACTACTGGTCGGCAAAATATCTGCCAAAAGTACATCTACAACAGGCATTATTACCGTTTTCGATCGAATATTGACAATTATTAATGTCAAGAAATTTAAAAATTTATCACTCTCATCAGTACACAGTACAAAAGCTAATGGCACTAATGGGATTGAGTCAATTGATTGAGGATTGAGTTTGTTTTCCCCCAGTTTTGACGTGGCTTTGACATGGAACGATGAAAACCGAGCGCCACCTGGTAACATTGATTCCCGCGAATTATCATTATTAAACTACGCAACACTAATATCGTCGCACCCCAAAATTTTGTCCCTGTTTAAATATGAATAACTTTTTTCTGTTTTGAACAATTTGAATTTGAATTTGAATTTGAAGTTTTTATTTGGATCTTCTGACTGATATTCTAGACTAGAAGATTCATTTCTAGAAAACTCGAAAATATGTGACGAATTGATCGAGAAATCGGAATTAATAGTCATTAGGCATGGAAAGTATAACGTTACATTTTTGAAAATCACTGAAATAAGAAAAAAGGAATACCAAAATAATACTGGGAGAAATGATAGATAACGCAAAACATTTCAAAGTCAACTCACCTCACTAGCGTTTTATAAAGACAAGCTCGAAAGCTCAACATATTTTTGTTGGAAAATTTTCAGGTCTGAAAAATTGAATTTTGTCTCACTCCTCATGGAAGCACCCCGTATCCCACGTAATTATTGAGGTAGGGTTCTGAAATTTGCAGGGGGGAGCGAAAGGTACCTCCTGATTTTGAATTCGACTCAACAATTACAACAGATACAGGGGTGCTTCCATCAGAAGTGAGACACACTGTATAATGTTCATCTTGAGTCAATTCTGATTTTCATATCTCTTCATCTGAAGTTTAAGCTTCAAAATGAGCCTGGGATTTCAAAAATCGGTTGACGAGGAAAAAAATTATGACTGCAAATCCAGACAGTTAATTTTATGAGATCTCTCTGTAAATGAGAGAGAACTGTTTCAAGATAATGAAATCATCTACATGCCTCTACTGTCAAAGTTGAAAAAAAAAAGTTTTTCCTCATTCGAGATACTTTTGAAATTTCCGAAATGTTGCACAGTTTCAGGTGACACCCTGTAGCGATTTTATGTGAAGAACCTCATGTTTTGAAGAATTACGAGATTATAGCTGAAGGACTGGGCTAGCGAACAGTGTGATCCGAATTCAAATCGTTCAAAGCAGAAAAAAGTTATTCATATTTCAACAGAGGCAAAATTTTGGGGTGCGACGAAATTAGTGTTGCGTAGTATATTATCAGCTCTGAAATATTCGCGACTGTCCAAATGTTTCAGAAATAACAAATCCACTCAAACTGCATCAGCGAATCTAAAAAAGACTGAAAAACCGTAAAAATCGCGCCAAAATCTCGATTTAGGCCCCGCCTATCGACGTCCCATGTCCGTGCATCTTTTCGCGACGCGTGCAACAGTCGTCTGAAAACGACGCCGAGCGTCGCACGCGGCACGCGACGCTCTCCCCACCGCCGATCCGCCTCCTCTTCTGTCGCGATGCGTTTGGCCTCCTCGAGCGGCGTTTCGTCTACGGGGCCGCGATCATCTTCAGGCGCGCCGTCGGCATGGACTACCAGTGCGTGGTCGTGTACACCGTCATACACATCCCGCCGCCCGGGCAGTACGGGGGTAGGTTTGGGGGCCGTGGAAGGAGGCAGGAGGGGTGTCTCGAATGGGTCAAGGGGCAGATCAAAAGGTTTGGATTTTAGCCGGTGTTTTTTTTTCGTTTTTCTTCTTCGGTTTTCATCTGGTTCGCTTCGTTTTATGGAATGGGTGATGGATATACAGGGTGACACAGGAGACATGTAACAGTCTGTAGTTTTTTTATTTGAAGAGATAAAAATTTGAAATCCACAAGGGTTGTATTATCGATGATGGCGCTTCTTTTGAGCCCAATGACATTTTTTTCAACCACCTGTTTGATCGGAAGTAGACCCAACTTATTGTTTTCAAATGGCATCCAGTTTATTTCTGTAGCCTGTAGCATATTCGCCTTGAAATTCTCTATTCAACTAAACTGGGCGTCAATTGAAACGTTAATATGTAGTGAAATTTGGCATCAAGTTTGACTTCTCGTAATTTCTAAAATATTGAACAAATTTTGAATTGCCGCCCAGATTCTGAATGCTTTTTTCATCGTCTTTCGAACCGTTCCTTACAGCTTCTTCTAAATTGATCAGGACCCGTGATACAGGGTGAAACAAAGTTTCGTGCATTTTGAAAAAAATTTCTCCGCCCCCCCCATTTTGTCGGAAGACCACGATGCTCATATTTTATTCGGGCATTTCATAAATAGCAACCATACCTCGGGACGTTTCCGAGTTTTTGCCAAAAACTACTGTGGTTTCCGAAAAAAAAAATGTTTTTTGTATTTTTTTCAATGGACTAATTTTAGAGGAGTTCCATAAATGGATGCTTTTATGCATTTCAGGAAAGCGTTGGAGCAGATATGTATACCAGGTTACTCAAAAACAATCAATAATTTATTACTTCGCAGTCTATGATAAAAGTTGTCTACCTTAGTGAGCAGTAAATCAACTCATCTCGATAACAAAAAAAAAAACGATACCTTGTTTTTATAACAACGTATTGTTGAAACAATGTAGGTTTGCATAGAGGTTATATCAATTGCCAATTTTCATGAAAACGTCAGTGTAATTCGGGTCCTAAAAAATTTGAAGGTGCCTCGTTCAAATCGGGTCGAAATGGAAAATATCATTTGGTAAGATCATTATAGTGATATAAACTATAATTCAGTACAGATAATTATTATTTCAGGTTACGACGATTAGGATATACCCAAACTCATTTAAGTACCATTTCCAATAAGTTTCATCGTTTTGAGGATACAGGTAATCTAAAAAAAATGCAAACAAAATTTTTTTTCGGAAACCACAGTAGTTTTTGGCAAAAACTCGAAAACGTCCCGAGGTATGGTTGCTATTTATGAAATGCCTGAATAAAATATGAGCATCGTGGTCTTCCGACAAAATGGGGGGGCGGAGAAATTCTTTTCAAAATGCACGAAACTTTGTTTCACCCTGTATCACGGGTCCTGATCAATTCAGAAGAAGTTGTAAGGAACGGTTCGAAAGACGATGAAAAATGCATTCAGAATCTGGGCGGCAATTCAAAATTGGTTCAATATTTTAGAAATTACGAGAAGTCAAACTTGATGCCAAATTTCACTATTAACGTTTCAATTGACGCCCAGTTTATTTATAACAATTTGATAAGCGAAATAATACTGAAAATACACTAATGTAGACTTATGGACAGATGTATTAGGACGATACATCAATTATTAAAAGAATTTCAGTTTCATGTATTCAAATGGATAATCATATTATGGCTTCATGGCAAAAATGAAAGACAAATAGTTTCTTCACACGAAGTATCCAAATGAAAAAAACTGAGTTTCTATCTTAGTTTTCTAAATATCGTGAGTTATTCTCGGATGATTCTCTTTAAACTCAATGAAATTATTGGCAATCTTCTGGCACCGATTAGGGTATGGAAAATATTCTGATAATATCGTCTAAGTAATGATCTTTGGATTTCTTAGCCTATCAAGCATCGAAATGTCATAGTATTCGGGCCACAGCCAACTTCAACGTATTTTAATAAAATGCAATTTAACAGACAATTAATGAACGAATATCAAATTGTGATACATATTTGGATAGAGAATTTCAAGGCAAATAAAATAGGCTACAGAAATATACAAGGTGCTCTTTAAAAAAAAAAGTTGGGTCTACTTCCGATCAAACAGGTGGTTGAAGAAAATTGTCATTGGCTTCAAGGGAAGCGCCATCATCGATAATATAACCCTTATGAATTTCAAACTTGTATCTCTTAAAATAAAAAAACTACAGGCAGTTACATGTCTCCTGTATATCGGTTCAGTTTTTTTCCATATTCTTTATAAACATTATCTGTCGTAAAGTGTAAGTTTCATTGGCAACATGCCCTCGGGAGGAATGAAACCGAAATTAATGTCATCATCAAATTGCTGTTAACTTTCGACGTGCCTTATGTAAATCAACCATCAATCTGACATAAAATGTGGCATGATAAATAGCATATTATCATTTAATGATTGAGAAGTGAGAAAATCGAAAATGTAGTAATATTTTTGAAACGTTGATTGTTCAGTTTAATTTGATTGTCCACCAAATGCAAGCCTGCTTAAGTCATACCATAAAATGTTTCTATTTATTACCATAGGTCATAAAATTTTCGAAAAAACATGCCAGCTTTCAGAGCTTTCTGACAATTTTTTTCAGTTTTTGACTGGAGCTCAGACTCCAGTAACGCCAACTGATGAGACGGAAAATTTTTAGTCATTACCTTGATCCTGATGCTACGGGTGTAAGTACAGTCGTATTCAATAAAATAAAAGTTGGGTCTACTTCCAATCAAACAGGTGGTTGAACAAAATTGTCATTGGGTTCAAGGAAATCGCCATCATCGATAATATAACCCTTGTGAATTTCAATTTTTTTTTTTCAAATAAAAAAACTACATTCTGTTACATGTCTCCTGTATCACCCGGTAGTATCAAAACACGTGATATACAGAAAAACTAACAAGAATCTTATCAAGCCAAAGCGCCTGGAATGAAATAGCTCCGTGAACATAATGGGAGGGAACATTGATTAATATTCATTCCAGTAGCAATACAAGGAACATCTTTTCTAGATAAATATGGTTTGTTGGTTAACGGTATTGATTTCATTATAGTCTCGTCGTTCAATGGAAAATAGAACATTGACAAACAAAGTGAACGTTCTACGTTTGTTTGCTATTCAAATAATACCTACATTCAATGGAAACTTACTGGATAGACATTACATGGAAATATCGTTTTTCAATTTCCCTTGTCTATTGATTTTGTCTACTATTCATACAAATTCTGTGGAACACTGATATATGTATAACATAATAAATCACTCATATCTACTTGTCGGATCTACACGTTGATTTATATTTGTATCTATATGTTGAATACCTTCATTTGATGTCACATTAGTAAGCTATATTGACCGAGTTGACAGAAAAATCACTACGATTATTTTTTTTGTATATATCAAAATCTGATATTTTAGTAATTTCAACCGATAACATTGCGTGATTCAGGCCAATCCTTCGGTATTATAGTGACTATTCCACTCATGTTCTCGATAACCAATCAGAATCGACCATTTTTACAGTTTCTTCTGTTTTACAGCGATATTTTTTGTTTACTAAAAATTATCGGACTTGGTCTACCTAGAGTCCCTTGATGTAAGTTGACGAATTTGTCATCTTAACAGGGTACGGACAGATCCACGTTTCCTCTCACTCGAAAGTGTTTGTGAAACAGTTATATAGTTCCATCTGTATTCATTTCTGGGGAGTAACACTAGATTTCTGACATTTGTTGTTTTTTAGGTTATATTGAGGACATTGGCGTATCATACGTAATTTCCACATGTAATTTCTCATTCAACTCTACATATTATATCCAAATGATAATGATAATTTTCGAGTTTTTGATTTTTCAACTCCAGCATAATCTTTGTGAGGCAGTGAGCAAATGTGTCTGAAAGTTCAATACGTTTTACCAAATGGGACTGTTCTGAGGCAGTACCTATCAATAAATAAATTTTGATTTCAGACTAAGCCTTATGGTTGAGAAATGGTGAAAAATTGTATGTAGATATTAAAACTAATGTACTCATATGACATATGTGCTGTATATATTCATGTTGGGAATCATTTTTGCAGTTTTCCACGAACACTTAATATTTCTCTCTCTTTTAACGCCTATGAATGTGACGTGACAGCAATGTCATGTCAGGGACGCCAAAACACGAAACCAAAGTCACTAGATGAATAAAAGAGAAAGGAACTATGATCTGTCCGTACCCTGTCATAGCTGTCAGGAACTGGTGCAGTGTTTCTCCACTGAGTGTATATTCACTTCTGTTTAACACATACGAATAAGAAGGAAACATATACAATCATGAAACAGTCACTACTCGAAATTCTTGTTCAACAATGTCATTTGCCAAATTATTGCGAAACAATCGCCGAATATTTCCGGCTAAATAATATCACTTGTGGTATTACATAATTGAACTGCTTCTCGGTTAAACCTTGTAGTTGGTGTGAATGAGTAAAAGTATTGTTTATAATTTTGTTGCACATGTTTGTTTGAACACATTATTAAATTGTCTTGGCGCCTGTTCAAATGGAAATTACTCGTGTGTTCAACGAACTTGTTGCTGAGTTTTTTTCTTTCATTATGCGTCATATTCAAATGATGGGTCTGACGCAGATTCTTTATACTTGAAATTATTTCCGTTCGAAATATTAACGGCCAAATTTCACATCTTTCAACATCACAAAAACTCTTCGAACGATGTTCTAAATTTATAAGTAAAGTTTATTTTAAAATCGAAATTTTTGTACACATTTAACTACTATAGTTTTCTAAATATTTCGCGATCATTTATTATAAAATATCATAGTAGATGATTCTTGTGGAGGTCGTACTCTAGGAGAATTGAAAAAATGACCCCGACATTGAAATTTTAGTGGATTTTTGATTTTTATCTATGTATCTTATTCACACTGATATCTATCTATAACGGAAGTATAAATGAATCAATCATAAGATAACAATCAATATACTGGAAACAAGTGAATTTAAGATTTTTTTGTAAAAAAAAAAATTTCTAAGAGCACTTTTCAGTATTTATAATTATTTTCATAATTTGATATGGATCATAAACATGGTACAATAATAATAGACATCAAAAGAAGTTATTTTTCAATATTCAACCAAAGTTTGTTAAATATCGATTATTTTATTGATGAATTGAGTGTATCTTAAAAGTTGGAAAAATAAATAATACCATCCGTTTAAACAATTTGTGTTGTGAGAAATTTGAGCGAATCGCCATAAAAATGAGATTATGTAAATGTTTTGGCATCAGATCGTTATGTCGGCAAATTCAATCCGACTACAAAATTAAACATATGTTTTTCGGCAATTAAGCGAAAACCATGAATTGGTGGAGTGAGAAAAATCTTGATATTCTTCCAAATGTGATAATCCATGCCAACTTGAAATTCATATTAATCTGACATCACAGCGAATCCGAAATTTATAATTTCTATGTGTTGCGCGCCAAACATATATTTTTTAAAATATTTTATATTTCAATGCCAAAATACACTTGAATAATTATCTCATTTCAATCTTAACCCTTTGTGTGCCAGTGGTTCCACTGTGGAACCACCTATCAAATGATTTTTTCCTTGCGGACAAGTAAGCTTCAACTGGGAACACATTTCCACATGCTGAGTAGTGGGGGTAGGTGGTCACACTGAGTGCAGTTCCAATCCTAATTTGCCATTTGTAGTTGAATGTTTATAATTCTGGATGTTTATGTCCACAGTGCATTAGCACGGAGTCATTTGATTTGCGTTCTCTGGCTGAGTTTGATGATATGGCAGGTATGTAAATGGTTATTTTTGTTAGTTTCAATGTACATGAACATACGACTACATCAGTTTGCTGAATTTTGCAATTTTTCACTTGATTTCTGGTAGTTTTGTGAGGTGGTCCCATGCGGGACCACCAGTACACTCCTATAATATTTTTTGTAGTACACTTCTATGATATTTCTTGTACTTTAGGCAGATCATTTGATATTTCTGAGCTGAACAAATCACCAGTAGATGATCTTTTCACCTTATTGGAGAAAATTCCATGGGGTGATGAATCCGTTCAATCAGTTCACATGGACAATTTTTTCAATTCTGTTTTGTTACAAAGAAATCTGCAGAAATACAAAATTTATAGTTGCGGTACTGCACGAAAAGATAGGAAATGGTTTCCAAAGAATTTGTCAGATGATAAATGTATGAAGAGGGGTGATTAGGATTGGAGAATTACTGACACTGTAATAACTGCTCCCAAATGGAAAGATAATAAACCGGTACATTTTCTAAGCAAAGAAGTCAGGCTTGCTGTTGCGAATGGGCTGATTGGAGCGGATCCCGCAACTCCCCAGAGAGGCAGAAAGGGCCTTGGTCTCATTGTCAACAAAATATGAGTTATATGTTGCCTTAGAACAACGTATAAGTACGGCCGCGCACATGCCAATCCATAGCAATAAGGTCAGATGCGCCAACTGTAGTTCGAAGAAAGAACTGCATAAATCTAGATGGCACTGCTCTTCGTGTAACATTGGACTATGTCTTATGAGTATTGAAAACTGTTTCGAATCATTCCATAAAAAATTACTCATAACTCTTCATAACATCATGTTTCTTCTGGCAAAATAAATTTTCAACAATTACTGAAATATTACCATTATTTCCCCAGTGATGCCTTAATGGAACCACCTGATTCTGTCAAATCTTTGTGTGCAATAATTTTTTTTTCATCAGAAAGTCGTTCAATTGATATATATAGAGTATAATTTTGACCTCAAAATCGATTTTTTCGAAAAAAAATAATTTGGGCCACAAAGGGTTAATAATCTTTGCAAGCTGATATAATTATAGAAGTTGAAGCTACTATGTTATAAAGAATATTGTGCATTCAAAACACAACTTGAGTTTTAATGTGACCCACTTGTCGACAGAAATAGCGGAAAGGAATCTGAAACAGGAGAATATAATTTCGATGGAAGTTGAAACTGCAGAATCTCAAAGCGTTATCAAATTGCTCGAAGATATTCCTTCATTAAAACGCTTCATTTGCATCCTTGCAATTAAAGGAGAGATGCGTTTTATGCCATAATGCTCGAGGACACCTTAGAGCATAAGGATACAAATTGAACAAATTTAATAGTCCTTACAATCTGCTATGCATGAATCGAATAAGCCAGGAACAGTTTCGATAAAAAAATGCCTGATGACCTTTTTTGAAATTTTGTTCCCTTCAACAAACAAAAGTAGGCCTTATAAATCTGAATATTCCAAATTTGTTCACATTCTCGAAATTATATTTTTGTAAATCGGTCGACAGGTTCCAAATTGGAAGGGTGTTGCTGGTTGAAATCGCACACACTGTATGTTTTTGTGTTGAAAAAAATCATAGATTTCGGAAAAAAAAATTGAGGAAACAGGGTGCTCTACTTGAAAAAATGAATTGTGAGACTTCAAAAAGCGTTCCTGATCAATGTAAGCACAATTCAGCATTTATGAAGGGAGGCATAGATATCGGGAGGATGTAAATCAATGTTTTGCGTGGTATATAGCCAGGAAAGTAGTTGTATTCCTCTCGTTATCTACCAGTTTCGTTCATTTATGAATTTTTGTGGAAATGACTTTGAGCTTTGCATATTTATTTAACACATCGACTGCCACAAGCTACAAGATATGTGCCTCACCATTCTAGCCATTGAGGCTTCATGACACATCATATTATGTGCCTTACAATTGACAACTCATGAATATTTCCTGGCACATGGTGAGTGCCTTGAAGCGTATATATTAGCATGGGATATCAATCTTCGTGGCGGGGGGTCTAAAATTAACAAAACCCAGAAAAAAATGCATTGTTGATCGTTTGTTTCAGCATTTTCTGTAAATTATGTACTATCGAACATAAATGAATAAATATTCCATTCCCATAAAAATACTGCCATAACTGATGACTTTTTGTATATACAAAAACGTCAAAACAGCAGTTTCAAGTACATTAAGGAACTCTAGTAAAGACATGAACAAAGGGCATTTGAAAATTACAATAGAATCAACAATATAATTTTTCTTATACTTTTTATTATACATTTTTCATATACATTATTTTCGTTCCAGAGCGGTAGCGGCCTACCTGCGCGCCCTCAACCTCTCGCCCAACAACGCCGTGGTGCATGGCAACCTCGCGTGCGTCTACTACGAGCAGGGCCTCATCGACCTGGCCATCGACACCTACCGCAGGGCCATCGAGCTGCAGCCGAACTTCCCCGACGCCTACTGCAATCTGGCAAACGCGCTGAAGGAGAAGGGCCAGGTGTCGGAGGCGGAGGAGTGCTACAACACGGCGTTGAGGTTATGTCCGTCGCACGCCGATTCGCTGAACAATTTGGCGAACATCAAGCGCGAGCAAGGGTACATCGAGGAGGCTACGAGGTACGTACCACGGGCCTGATTTCTTAATCCAGGGACCTATGGTCCCTTGATGTGAATTGACGTATTTGTCATCTCAACAGGGTACGAACAGATCCTTGTGTCCTCTCACTCTAAAGGGTTTGTGGAACAGTTATATAGTTCCATCTTTATTCATTTCTGGGGATAAACACTAGATTTCTGACATTTGTTATTTTTTTAGGTTATATTTAGGACATTGATGTATCATACGTAATTTCCACATGTAATTTCTCATTCAACTACATATTATATCCAAAAGATGATGATAATTTTCGAGTTTCAACTCTAGCATAATCTTTGTGAGGCAGTGAGCAAATTTTTCTGAAATTTTAATACGTTTTACCAAATAAGACTGTTCCTAGGCAGTACCTATCAATAAATGAATTTTGATATCAGACTAATCCTTATGGTTCAGAAATTGTGAGAAATGTTATGTAGGTATTCAAACTAATGTGCTCATATTATGTCATGTGTGCTGAATATATTCATGTTGGGAATCATTTTTGTAGTTTTTCACGAACACTTGATATTTCCTGAATGTAGGCATAATTTTCTAAATGGTAGGCCATATGCCTCTTCTTTTAATCCTCCGTTATAATCAAAACTGTTTCTACTAAAATGCATTCAAAAACTTGTGGAGTAGATAATTATATAGGCACAATGAGAAAGTATAATATGTGATTTCGTATCAGTTTCACCTCTAATATTTTGCTGATGTATTTACCAATTTTCCCCATCCGGTCACTTCACTTTCCATGTTCTAAGTTCATTTTCATTTGATGGAAAGCTGACAAATTCAAATTTGCCATCCAACTGATTGATACAGATTAACGCAGCACATTTTACCATCCTTCCAAAACAGAATTGAATAATGTATCAAAATAAAGAATGAAATCAAAATTTTGTAAGATCCTATTTAACGCCTATGAATGTGACGTGACAGCAATGTCATGTCAGCGACGCCAGAAAACGAAACCAAAGTCAATAGTTCACAGTAAGTATTTAAATACTTTCAAAGTATTTGAGTATATACAAAGTATTTAAATGTGCTAAAAGTATTTGAATATTACCGAAGTATTTGAGTATTTCCAAAGTATTTAAATACTTTCATAGTATTTGAATACTTCCAAACTTAAATACATTCGAAAGTATTCAAATATTCTCAAGGATTTGAATACATTCATGTAACTTGAGTATTTTTGACGTTTTTATACACCTTGCGTAATGTAGATTGGAGTAATTCTGGCAGTATGGACAAATAAATAATTTTTCGTACTGCACTGGGAAGGCGTCAATTCGTCAAAACCCGACATCAATAGAAAAGGATGATGTCTGATTAGTGACTTACTCATGCTCCTTTTTACTTCAACTTAGATATCTGCCAAAGATTGCCTATGACTTTGTTTTGTACAAAACTTGAAAGTTCGCCTTTTGACACCAGATATCTTTACACACAAGTGTTATGCATAAAAATGTTTGTCAATCCTAGCAAAATTGTAATACTGCCTTCCTAAAAGTCCTAAATATGAACGGCGTATGTTCTAATATATCATAATTTGAGTTATTGATCCTGGAGGCCTTTTTCACTTCAACTTAGATATCTGCCAAAGATGAACACCATATCTGAACAGGAACAATATGAAATTATCGACAATATACGTATTTCTGAATTATTACTTAGTGCCAAATAAGAACACAGTATCTGAGCTCCACCAACAATGAACGCAGTAAAAATAGGTTCTGCTTTTCTTGAAAGTTCAATTTTTTATCTGCAGGCTATATCTGAAGGCACTAGAAGTGTTCCCAGAATTTGCAGCTGCTCACAGCAATTTGGCTTCAGTTTTACAACAACAAGGAAAACTAAATGAAGCCCTCATGCATTACAAGGAGGCGATCAGGATCCAGCCTACCTTTGCTGATGCCTATTCTAATATGGGTAAGTACCTATCATATTTGTAACATTTTTAAAACAATGTTCTATAAAAACCTAGTTAGTAGGCGAAAGGTATAATGTCTGTTCATAAAAAAATGCGAAAATCGTCCTCATTGACCATATTTTCAGTTAGTTAATGACCTGTGATCCGAACTAAATTATTTATTTGTCATCCTCACCCTAGACAATTTTTAAATCATGTCAAGACCCACTTCTCTGTCAAGTTTATAATAAAAAATTTGTCATGCTGAAACATTTCAAATACTTACATAGTAAAGAAAGCAATTAATCGATAATTTTGAATCGCCTCGGCCGTTACTCGATGAAATTTATGGCAAATATAAAAATTTCATAAACCATAAGATCTCCACAAAATTCTCAATCACATGACATGGTTCGCTAGCTAACACAGTAGCTTCATCAGGTGAAATGCTGGTACAATAAACTAAACTAACCTTGGCTTGCCTAACTTTTATATATCAACCTTTCCCAACCTGAAGGATTAGAATTACCTGTGTACAGGTTCGATAAACCTTCATGTTCGGAAAATAGGCACAATATCTACATCAAAATACTTGGAAGGCTTGATAGCAAATACATATTACCTACTAAGAAAGAAAAACAAATTCAACAGTGGTGAACTATTGAGATCCAGTTGATCATTTAGCAAAATAATGGAATTTTTTAATTTGTTGATTGCTAATGATTCAAAATGATTGAGTTTTATCCCTCTATTTTCTACGTGTGGAATTTCGAAATCATCATCAGAACTATGGTTTTCTTCTAATATATGGTTGGCGTATGTTGCATTTGTTTTCTTTTTCAAAAAATTCATTTTGGCGCGGAATATATTTTGTCTAATTAAAAATTATCAGAATTATTTGATTAAGTTTTATATCCATATCATTATTATCGCAAAAAAATAGTGTGGCCATGGTCCACTTCTTTGCAGCTGTGAACTTGATTTGGGAGAAGGATTTAAAGAGGCAAAAAACATATATTTTTGTATATCCATCATTCAAATCATTTAATGCTCATCAAAACTTTACTGTTTCATGTTAATTCAGGCAAAAATAAGAAACTTGATAGAAAGAGTGGTTGAGTGGAAGATATGGTTACCATCCACTATCCAGAGGGAGAGCGAACCTTTTTGCTCTGTAAGTCATAGATGGTGACACTATTTTGTTATTCACATTGTAACATTCCTCAGACCTGCATCAATAAAAGCGATATTATTATTATTATTATTATTATTATTAAACTATCATAAAATGTACGCAGAGACTCGTGCAATGTACAGTCTTCTTCAGAAAACATACCGCAGATGGGCGACGATAGAACTCCTAGGGCCGGTTGCTCAAAGCTCTCCGTTGACTAAACGAGGAATCAACTCTCTTAACTCATCAGCTAAGGCATAAGTTGCCATTGATATCGATAAATTAAATATTCAATCGTCTATTGAATACTTGATGCAATCGGCCCCTAATAACTTCTGTAACATCAACCTTCATCATTTCATTATTTCAAAATTTATAATCGCTTTCAGGCAACACCCTCAAAGAGATGCAAGACGTCTCCGGCGCCCTGCAGTGCTACACGCGCGCCATCCAGATCAACCCGGCGTTCGCCGACGCGCACAGCAACCTCGCCAGCATCCACAAGGACTCCGGCAACATCCCCGAAGCTATCCAGTCGTACCGCACGGCGCTCAAGCTCAAACCGGACTTTCCGGACGCCTACTGCAACCTGGCGCACTGCCTGCAGATCGTCTGCGACTGGACGGACTACGACGCGCGCATGCGCAAGCTGGTCGGCATCGTGGCCGAGCAGCTGGAGCGCAACAGGTTGCCGTCGGTGCATCCGCACCATTCGATGTTGTATCCGTTGTCGCACGAGTTCAGGAAGGCTATCGGTGAGTCGACCTCAGACTGAATAACACTAGATAGACACAGCGATTATTCCCTAAATCATTGAAAAGTATACGCAAACAATCCTAAACGCACAACACGGGTAAATGAATGAAATCGCGTATGGTGGGGATAACTTTGCGGCATCATTGGCAGAGAATTGGTATTTTCCATAGATATTGTTTTACATTCCGTTCAAAATAGGATTAGAAAAGAAACTGCATGATTTGAAAATTATTATTCAACTTTACGGTCAGTAAACAACTTACCCGGAAGATGAGGAAGGTGGGCACTATGATCCTAGAATGGATGTTCTCAAGATCCTCGGAAGTAAGCAGATGGTGAGGGTAGTACGGAAGTGTCACAATTATTTAAAATGGCTGAAGTTTCAGTACTTTTGCATATTGTAAATTACTGACACGTGACAAGCAGTGACAGTGAGACGTAACCACAAATGATTTTGAAGCGTTGTGCCAAAAAAGGACATGAATATATGTTTTGCATAGATAAAGGCTTCACCTATCTTCCTACCTCTACATGTCTAGGAAAGAGTACAACCATGTATCTTCTAAATGAGAGTACATGGCGTCTACTGGAGTGATACATCGTTTTTGCTTGTAGCCAAGAATTGAGGAAGAAGCTACAAAATATTGTTTTTTGACCATGCCTTTTCAACTAGTGTAAACATTAGATTGATGCATATGGATGGCATAATTAATTTTGCATCTGTTCAAGCAGGCTGGAAAGTAATTCTTTGCATCAGTACTAGTCTGATGAATTTATCTCAAATGGGCTAGTACGACAAAATAATCACATCGTTTTTTTAATTTGTTGGTTGTATATCTACCTAGAACCTGAATAATTGTCTTTATTGATGCGTACAACCATTCATTTTATAGCATTTGTTCATCCCAATGCTTATTTTCATGAATTTGAATAATTATTATGTATCATTATTTCGTTCATTTTCCATTAAAATTGTTCTTTCAATTAGGTCTACAATAGGGTAATTGAGGTCCATTGAAAATTCTACATCATGCGACGAGGCTGAATTCACTCTAATATGTGCATTGACATAGTGTTGTAACATTCTTTGGTTTTTCGATTTCGAAATCTAAGTGATTTCAACAATTATTCGATAATGCTACGGATAAAATGAACAATACAGTACAGAATACATGGTCATAAAAATCATGCATTCATATTATTTCGTTGCTATATTTTAGTTCTATGCACATTAAAATTTAAAAAATGAAACACACCTGCTAATCAACTGTTCTAGTTTCGGCACTGTGTGTTTTTCCAATGCTCGAGGTTTCCATCAAGCCACAGCTTGTCCATTCAAAAACTGTCAATGGTGTTCTTGGTTATTATTTTTGTTGGATAAACACAGTGGATCTGTGTATGTGGACAATAACTAACTATAAACCAATGTAATAATGTAAATGAAAGAACTTTATAGCTGAAGAGAGAACGCTCACCAAGCAAATACTTAGTCTCTATCATGGTGGAATTATAGTATGGTGTGCTACGACGCATCTTCGTATACGTCACTGCGAGTGAAACAATTGCTAGTAGCCTGAGCTCACAGTTATCAGTTCGCCCGAGTCGCCGTGATCATTTTGGTGCCAGTATTGACTCGCAATGACGTTATGCGCAGAAAAGACGAATTCAAGACCACACCATATTATATTTCCACCATGGTCTATATACTTAGATTGTTTTCATAGAGACGTTTTCTATTTATGACGATTGTACATCGGCGTGCTTTCTGAGTGGTCTTGATGTGAGACAAAAATATACCAGTTTGAAAGTATGACACCAGGACTTGTTATTTCCATAACCAATATCCAATAATTTTCATTACAGCTGCTCGCCACGCTAACTTGTGCCTGGAAAAGATCAACGTGCTGCACAAGCCGCCCTACAAATTCTCGCCCGAGCTGAAGGGCCGCCTGAGAATCGGCTACGTCAGCAGCGATTTCGGCAACCATCCCACCTCGCATCTGATGCAATCGGTGCCCGGGATGCACGACAGGACCAAGGTCGAGGTTAGTAGCATTGTCGTAACCTAAATAACGATAGATAAGACACCGCGATTCATTCATAAATCATTTAAAACTACGAAATAGCCACAATGCTCAAAGTGGAATGAAATGTTAAATAAATAAAAGAAGCTCAAAGTAATTTCCACACAATGTTCATAAAATGACTGCTGGCTGGACACTACACTGCACTGATGAGAGTCAAAGAGCTCGAAACCGGTCTGTGGTTGTCTAGCGTGGCCTGGCTAAATCGAAATCAATAGGCATTCAGGAAAGAATCACTTGTATCAGTATTCGTTTATATGAGTCGATGCATAGATTTCGAGAGGATATAATTCAATGTTCTGCGTGGCATTAGCCAGGAAAGTAGTTGTTTTTCTCCCGAAATCTACCATTGTTGTTCATATTATGAGCTTTTTGTATTAATTTAATCATTTAAAAGTATACGCCAACAATCCTACAGGCAAAACTCTGATAAATGAATGACATCGCGAATGGTGGGGATAACTCTGCGGAATCATTGCCAAAGAATTGGACATAGATATGATTTCGTCTGTTTAGCTCAAAATAGGTTTGAACAATAAACTGTTGAGTTTTTGTATTTGTTCAGTGTGACGTATGATGGCGCTGTTGTGATAAATTTTATCAATTGTTTTTCTTTGAGCATTTGCTGAATAATGGCTCGCGTTTTTCACAATTATAATGGCATTATTGACATGATTTTTTGCTTATGGTGACTTGCAAAGTTATCATAGGTCATAGCAAGTACACAACCATAGTTTTGATCAGGATTGATTATATGAGTTTCGAAACTTCCTTATTTTGAAACTACAGTTCTCAACACACCAAATGGACCACTCATAATAATTTGACTCTATTTCGAAGACCAGTATTTTTTGAAAAAATTGACCGATCTTCATGCGGTTTTCGATATCAGATGCGATGTTCCATCGGCTTCAAAAAGAGCTAGAACACTCTGAAAAAGTCTGCAAAACAAAACTTACACAGGGTGTAAAGTGGAACCATTACACTATGGTCTACATTTCCAATGCTGCCAGAACTCGAGAAATTTTTCTCTGATCAAAAGTCAGTCATATTATGATACACTGGGACCTCATCTTGGGACGTTTTCGTGATTTTTCCTTGATTGACCATTGGAACAAAAATTCGATTTTTTTTTTCGAAGGTCTTGCATTTCTTGAAACGTCCCGAGATGAGGCCCCAGTGTATCATAATATGACTGACTTTTGATCAGAAAAAAATTTCTCGAGTTCTGACAGCATTGGAAATGTAGACCATAGTGTAATGGTTCGACTTTACACCCTGTGTAAGTTTTCTTCTGCGGACTTTTTCAGAGTGTTCTAGCTCTCTTTGAAACCGATGAAATATCACATCTGATATCGAAAACCGCATGAAGATCGGTAAAATTTTTCAAAAAATACAGGTCTTCGAAATAGAGTCAAATTATGAGTGGTCCATTCAGTGTGTTGAGAACTGTATTATAGACGATTTTTGATGAAATGGTTCATTTTGATCATTTCTTCATTCTGTTATTAAAGATGTTTCACCTTTGAAAACATGTATACTTCCATTTTTCAGTAGTTCTTCGACCTGCGCATAATATTGAGTTCATTCACGTAGTCAATGATAAGTAGATCAATGAATTATTATTTTTTACTTGTCATACACCCCAGTTTTTGCTAGGTTTGTTTCATGAACACGAACGAATATTAAAATGACCGCATCTATCAAACTGATGTATTCTAAACAAGAAATATTCTGCTAGGTGTTTTGCTACGCGTTGAGTCAAGACGACGGTACTACATTCCGCAGCAAGATATCGAGGGAATCCGAGCATTTCATCGATCTATCGACCATTCCTTGTAACGGGAAGGCGGCCGACAGAATCTATGCCGACAACATCAATATTTTGGTCAACATGAACGGTTACACTAAGGGGGCCCGTAACGAGATTTTCGCATTGAGACCGGCTGCTGTACAGGTTGGTTGAACACTCAGAGCATCACAATATATATATCCCGTCATGTTCAGTTATGCAATTTTTTATTTGTCGGTATCCTAGATTTCCGGACCTTGGCAAGATTAGAGTTCCTTGATGCAATTTACACTTTTTTGTTGACTTTTTTTGTATATTTAGATCAAGAAAACTCTGACCAGTACTGACAGAACCACAAACGATTTTGAAGCAGATCATATTATGTTTTGCCTGGAGAAAAATGTTTTTTGCTAAGATAAAGGCTTATCGCCTCTTCTTTCCTCTACATATTGAGGGAAGAGTACATCCTTATATCTTTCTTCGTTTTTCATTTTCGAAAGAGGGTACGATAAATTCAACCAAAACATGGTTAGCGATTCCAGCCTAGAATTGAAGGAGAAGCTACACAATATTGTTTTCCAGGCGTTATTGCCATTTCATTCTAGAATTTGGGAAATTGAATATATAAGGAAACTACTACTTTGACAACAAATTTACCTTTCCAGTTATGAAAACAGTACCCGTGCCAATTAATACTACTATGAAGTTATCCATACGAATGTGGGTTTTATATAAAATCGTCCAGATATTTATTCAAAACAAACACCAATGAAGAAAACTTGAGGTAACTGTCAGAGTACCTCCATCATTACTCTATTAAAATGCAGGGTACTCTAAGTTTTTCAACGATTGTGAATGCATACTCTAAACTGGTCTCAATTCTTATTTCATGGTATTTCATAGTCAATGGTTTTTCAGGTTTGCTCTACTCTTCCCTACATGCATCCCTCCTCCTACCTCCACATTCATTAAGTAGTTGTATTAGCTATTGTTAAGGTGATGATTCCGATACGTCATCTGGTGGGCACATTTGAACCAGTTTATCAGGGCATTCAAGGTCATTTTTGTTATTGTTTGTTATTCTGTTCACAATTCTACATTATTTTATAAATCATGAATCAACATATCACTCAAAAACCAAGAAATCAACTGTGTTCTGTTGATGGTTGCACTAGTAAACTCAAGAAGTCTTTTCTGAAAATGAAATATCAGTTCAGTTGGATGGAAAAATGGATAATCGTGGAGCATCGAATATGAATTTGAAAACTGGATGTATAAATATGTACCTACTACAAAAAGTTGAAAAAAATTCCTATATCCTTTACCTTTTTCCACTTTCATTGCTCCAATTAATGAAAACAAGGAAAAGTTGTGATTCATATTATCATATTATTAATGATTATTAACTATTTGATGTGCCCATTGAAATGATTGAAATGATCAACAGTTCATATTTTGCATGGTAAGTTTCTGATGAAGTCTCCAGAAACTAGGACTAGGAAAAATAAGTATGTCTCTTTCTCTTTCAAATACCTATTGTGTTAATGGACTTTTGAATTGCAATATACAAGGGTGGGCAAGAAAGATTACCTTGGAAAAATGTGCAGGTCAGTATTTTATGGTTCTATATGAAATGCTGGCCTTCTCTGAATCATATTAAGATAATATTCATGACATCCTGCATAGGATTTTATAGATTTCTATCATTGTAGTATTATTTCTATAGTGATGATAGCCAATTTAGATTGCATGTACTTCCAAAACTATTAAGTTAAAATACATTACAGCTATACATGAGCAGAATAGAAGCATTTTACCTTGATTCAAACAATTCTGTACAACCAACTGAAACGCGATATATTTCTATGATTATTCATCAATTCATCAACTCTCCCAATGCAGACGAGGTAGGCAGATTAACAACGATTTTCTCTGCAATGAAAAACACTGTATATACCTAACCCACCATGCGCTGACCTCCTTTGCAGAGAGGGTTTATATAAGCAGAGTTGATACTCTCCCCTCGTAAGGGTACCTGTCGTGTTTCCATAAAGCTGAATATCTGTCTATCTGTTTGCTTGAGAATCCGGAAAGGAATTCAATATATCGCCTTCCGTAGGAACATAAGGATCAGAATTCTTGAAAGTATACTCTTGTCAGTTCTCTTTGTGGATTTTCTGTTCGGTCCGTCTTGACTGGATTGTTTTCTCCAATTTATTGACAAGTATCAATCACTTTGCTTTTCGAATCTGCAACTAAATATCACATAACAGAAAGTCCATGAGAATTAGAACTGATGTTGAATCTGAAACATACCTGAATAATATTTCCAACAACCGTAACTGAATTGCTTCATATTCGCTCTCCTTCCGAATAGTGGTCTTCCCAGTAGACATCTGCTACATTTCGAATTTCGTGGGTTATAATACGAACCATGAATGTCAAACAGTGTGCTGTTCGGATCTAAAACTAAGGATCAATTTGAAATTTGAATCGTGAGACGTACATAGAATATAAATCTATAAAGTCTGAATATTGTTCTCAACATTCGTATCTGGAATGCGATATATTTTTATGATTGTTCATCAATTCATCAACTCTCTCAATGCAGACAAGGTAGGCAGATAAACAACGATTTTCTCTGCAATGAAAAACACTGTATATACCTAACCCACCATGCGCCGACCTCCTTTGCAGAGAGGGTTTATAAACGCCGAGTTGATACTCTCCCCTCGTAAGGGTACCTGGCGTGTTTCCATAGAGACATAAAGGTGAATATTTGTCTATCTGTTTGCTTGAGAATCTGGAAAGGAATTCAATATATCGCCTTCCGTACGAAAATAAGGATCAGAATTCTTAAAAGTATACTTTGGTCAGTTCTCTTTGCGGATTTTCTATTCGGTCCGTCTTGACTGGATGGTAACTGGAATGCTTCATATTCGCTCTCCTTCCGAATATTGGTTTTCCCAGTAGACATCTGCTACATTTTGAATTTCGTAGGTTATAATAAGGACCATGAATGCCAAACAGTGTGCTGCTCGGATCTAAAACTAAGCATCAATTTGAAATTTGAATCGTGAGACGTACATAGCATATGAATCTATAAAGTCTGAATTTTGTTTTCAACATTCGTAACTGAAATGCGATATATTTTTATGATTATTCATCAATTCATCAACTCTCTCAATGCAGACGAGGTAGGCAGATAAACAACGATTTTCTCTGCAATGAAAAACACTGTATATACCTAACCCACCATGCGCCGACCTCCTTTGCAGAGAGGGTTTATAAACGCCGAGTTGATACTCTCCCCTCGTAAGGGTACCTGTCGTGTTTCCATAGAGACATAAAGGTGAATATCTGTCTATCTGTTTGCTTGAGAATCTAGAAAGGAATTCAATATATCGCCTTCCGTGCGAATATAAGGATCAGAATTCTGAAAAGTATACTCTGGTCAGTTCTCGTTGCGGATTTTCTATTCGGTCCGTCTTGACTGGATGGTTTTCTCCGACTTAGTGGCAAGTATCAAACACTTTGCTTTCTGCCTGTTTGCTTGTTAATCTGGAAAAGAAATCCGATTTAGACTAAATTCTTGCTGCATTACCGAAGTTTCCACAATATTTTCATAACTGCTGAATAACCCATTTTAATTCGAAGACCGACTGAGATGTCAAAAAATGCCTGTTTTGTTTCCATGGCATTTCTGTTGTGTCCACAGCTATCTAAATGTTATTGGCAACTTTGATTCAATCCCAAATGAGTGAAAAATGGTTTTAGAAAAAATTTGCAAACAATACAGGATGTCCGGAAAGGTAATGTTGTGAATGATAGGACAGGTCATATAAAAAAAAGTATATCGCGCTTCGTTTCGGAGATATTGACCTTGAAAGTAAGATAAAAAAAAGAATTTCATGTATATAACTCTCAAACTATCATTATTTTTTGAAATACTGAAAATGTAACAAGCACTAGAGAATATCTAATTAACAATTATTCTATGGAATGAAAACTATCGATAGTTCACCTAATTTGGACTCTAATGAAGTTGAACTTGAAGGACTGATTATTTTTTTGTGATAAAATTGGTCTTTGAATTAGAAGTTCAACAAAAATTCTATTTCGAAAAATGATGATGAAAAAAAAAGTCAAATTGGATGCACCCTGTTGAAAAGTCTTTGAATTCACCTATCGAGTGTGAATCGATTATACACCATGGTTCAGAAATGAGCTGACCAGATAAAGATTTTGCCAAAATCAAGATTAGGTACGTTCTGTATCACAGTTATAAAAGATAGTAGACACATCGATGTATGTATATTTACACAACACCCTGTAGAGGCAAAAAAAAATGTTCATGGATTAATCTCGAATCGTCTTATTTTCTTCTGGTTTGCTCTTTTCGCATTATTTTCTTCTGAAAAAATACCGTTGTGAACGGAAAGTACGAATTTCAGAAGAAAGTATTACTTCATCGGAAAATATTCAACAATCGGTACCTTTGTGATTTTGAAAACATATAAAGTAATTGAGTTAAATATAAACATGGACATATGAGGAAAATTTGAGAGAATCTCTCCACTCACCAACGTGAATAATGTGAGGATTTGATGAAACAACACGAAACACCAGAACAGCACACGATGGCAGAATCTAAAAATGCGATGAAATACAGGGTATTCCATTTGAAATATCAATGTTGCTACTACTTTCTAGTAGAAGCGGCAACACTGTATTGTCGAAAATATTTTACATGAAGAGAACGTATTCTGAAATATAAGCATGCACATTTTCATGGATTTTTCCTGACTGATTCTAGATATAAAGATAGTGTAAGCTCGTCGTGACATACCCTGTATATTATATTGATTATAAAAGATCGAGTAAAAGATGGAAGACACACCCATATTAGGGAGTGATTGAAACCACCAAAGTTTCCTCAATCTACAGGTTTAGTAAATCTGATATAGGAAAAAGGTATTTTTCCATGAAAAAATATCGAATCGTCTTATTTTCTTCTGGTTTGCTCGTTTCGAATTATTATCTTGAAAGTATTCAACGAACAGACGTTTCTTATTTTGAAAACATATAAGGTGATTAAGTTAAATATGAACAGGGAAATATGAGGAAAAACAGAGAATCTCTTTTCACTTACCAGCGTGAAAAATGCGGAGTTTTGATGAAACAACACGAAACACCAGAACAGCACACGATCGCGATAATGTAATCACTGAATTGAATGAGGGATACAAAAACACTACACTCATACTCATTTTTAAGTGAACACTCCGTTTGGAACGATAAATATTTCCTTTCGCGTATTTTTCAATTGCGATCACAAAATTCGACCGTTCGTGATGACATCTAATATAAGACTGTCTTGATTCACCACCTGGTCTCGAATGAATGACTAATAGGTTGAATCATGCTGGTAACTGATTTATCTCCGAACAAATGATTTATCTATGACTAATGACGATAATGAAATTATACAGGGGGAACAGATATATAGTATACAAGATATAAGATGAAGAATTGAACACGGATACTGGCACTATTATTTTCGAAAGTCTAACGATTTGAAAAAATTTCTCGAGGAATGTAAAATGCACAAGGAGACATACAGGGTGTTTCAGATTTGAATGTACATTTTGGTTCAGACTGCCAGGCTTTTCTACGAAGTTATTAGAAATAAGGTTGTGCTGAGTTACTACGTCTAACAGAGAATTTTGCGAAGAATCCAGTGGCGTACTCTATTTTTTTAGGGGTTATGATTTTGGGGATACGTTTTTTTTATTATTTAGTTGAATCCGTTATTTGTTTCCATCCAAAATGACGAATAAAACTTTGTACATGGGATTTCCAGAAATCCTAAGAACCACTAAAACACCAGACCATGATGAATTTTTGCTATAGTGGGCCATGGATTTTCCATGTTTTACTAACGATTATTATGTCTGATTTACTATACAGGGTATGTCACGACGACCTTACACTATTTCTATATCAAGAATCAGTCGGGAGAAATTCATGAAAATATGCATGCTCATATTTTTTAATATGCTCTCTTCATTTGAAATATTTTCAGCAATGCATTGTTACTGCTTCTATCATAAAGTAGCAACAACTTTGTTATTCCTAATAGAATACCCTGTATTTTATTGCATTCTTATAGATGCTCCCTGAAGAGCTGATTTCATCGATACATCGATCACACGATTCGACCGTACGTGATGACATCTAAATGTCCTGATTCACCACCTGGTCTCGAATGAATGACTAATAGGTTGAATCATGCTGCTGATCGATTAATTTCCGAACAAATGATTTATCTATGACCATGATGAAAATTCCACCTTTGATCTACCAGTATACTTTTCCCCTCAGTTCTCATGTATATTGTTTTTCCCTGAATTATTTCACAAGATACCTTCATAAAAATTAACAATTATGAATGAATTTGAAATCCAGGACCTTTCATTAATGTAAAAACAAATTAACAATGAGGAAAAGTAGGTATCTACCTGCTATGTAAGAGGTAGGTCATACTGTACCTATTTTAAAAGGAATCAATGAAGATTATGCAGTGAAACTTTATAATTGCATCAATAAAGAATGAGGTGTTGATTGAGGTAGTTTTGGAATTGAAATATGAATTTTGAAAACCTACAAGAAAATCATTTTTGTGTTTTTGTAACACAAAAAAACTAGAACTGTTACTTATGAATAAAATACAGTTTGATAAAAACATACAAGCAGCAAAATTATAAATAAATATTTCCAAGATACAATTTGAAATTTCATGGATATAAAATATCCTTAAAAATTTGAATTCAACTTCAAGGAATGAACAAAAACTGGGTTTTGGTTTCAATTTGTGTAGCTATTTGAAGTCAATTGCAAGATACTCTGGATGGCAACACTTCCCCTGCTGAAAAATTGAAGAAGAAATGTTAGTACTTACTATAAACAAACCATATCTATGAACTATTACACAATCTGAATATTCAAATAGAAATAGATTGTGTCACTTTAATGTATGTTCAAAGATTCAATTCAAACTATGAAGTAAACACTACCTACAATAACTGCTGAATAATTTGTTCATACCAGGGTTATTATATATCTATAAAATATGCTTCTGTTCTTGCTCATATGAATGTAATAGGGAGCTGTATTCTAACTTAATTGTTTTCGAAGTACATGCAATCTGCATTGGCTATTTGACTACAGAGATGATACTACAAAATAGAAATCTATAAAGGCCTAGACAGGATGCCATGAACAAGATTTCAATATGATTTAGAGAAGGCAAGCGCATTACAAATAAAACCATAAATTACCCACCTGCACATGTTCATATTGTCCAGCCTTGTGTAGTGCAGTTCAAAAGTCAAAGGTATCGAATTTGATAAGAATATTTGGAAGAAAAACAACCATACTTATATTCCCAAGTCCTAGTTTCTGGGGACATTTCCCCATAAACAGAATATGAACTGTTGATCATTTCAATCATGTTCTCTCTCAGATAGGCACTACAAATAAGAGTCAATTATCAGTAATAAATATATCTATGAATCACAAATTTACCTTATTGTTTTCATTATTGGACCGATGAAGTGAAGAAAGGTAGTAAGTTTTTGTTGGAGCTGCCAGCATCCAGTTTTCAAATTCATATTCAATTTTCAATGTTTATCCATTTCTTCCATTCAACAGAACTGATTTTTTATCATCATAAAAGACTTCTGAAGTGCAGGAAATTCATTTTAAAAGACATTATAGGTCCTACATTTTTCCATTGGAACCTTCTACTATTTTATTTTGTTGTGAGAGATATAATTCCCATATCACTGATAAACTTGAAACTTCTGTGAGTTGGAATGTTTAAATTTTCATATTGGCTTAAAAGGGCTCCCCTGGGGTTGCAGCTATAAGTATGTTGTGGTCGTATGAAATATCTCCTGGTCTTGGTATGAAGTGTATGATGGATCTGAGGCACAAGCTGAGTCCAGAGCTGAGTGAAGTGTAAACATGCGCCAGTATACAGATTAGCACAGCGCTTTTGGTCAGTTTTTGTACTGAGATTGTCCATTGCCATTGCAAATATATCAGCTTCTTTCAAATTCACCGATAGTTGAAATGGTTGGGTCATTTTGATATCCTACTGAATGTCACAGGTCTGGTGAAAGGCTTCTTTGTAGCTGTAACACTATCCGTAAGACAGTATTATTTCAATCACACACACAATGATTTTTGATATTTTCTGTGATAACTTCGAGAATTAACACAAAAAACACACAAAATATGTAAACGAAGTGCCCTGATATCGCCGCCAACTTGTTTTTGATACAGCGCCCTCAACGGTCGATCACCTTGCCAATGGGCGTGTACACCTTGGTAGAACTTTTAACTCAAACCATGTTTAAAATGATCCTTTCATACATAAATGATGATTGACGACATAATTCGATCCAAAAATTTACTGAAATGTTCAATTTTTGGACATAAATAATAGTACCATCTGAAAACGGACCCTCTTATGACGTAGAAACCTCATCTCGCCATAGTTCAGAGAAAATACCAAACGCCGGACGGAGACTGAGGCAACTGATACATTAATTCTTTCAACTGTGATCTCGCGCTAATTCACTCTGCCAGAAATCATGTATCATTCATCTCTGTCTGGACTAGTCCTGTTTCAGTATTAGGGTTTTGACGTCACATCATCGCCTCGTTTTCAGAGGTCCGAAAAATTGGGGATTTCAATAATTTTTTATAAAACGTAGGGAGCTCACAGCGATAAACGGTTTGCGGTGGTGAGCTAGTTTGGGTGAGTTCTATCTAATTATGGAATAAAATTTTTTTGTGATATAAGCCCATTGTTTCATGCCTATGCTCATGGTCGGAATTTCATGTTTTATTCCTTGACATTGACTGACTTATGTAAACGTCTTGCCTACGTCATTATTTGACATTATTTTCAGGTTTTTGTAACCAAATTAGTTTAGATTTAAACACGTGCTGGCTGTTTGTCCCATCAATTTTATTGATATTTTCCTCAAGTAGCGCTTTCAAAAGGGCACGGGGAACCCCTTTTTGAAAAAAATCCTTTAATTTATGGTGTTGTCAAAACAAACCTTTTGGCGATACCCTTTATATACTATATGGAGTTTCAATGAAAATAATGGTATGCGCTCTCAGGGCACGGGGCCCTTCATTTATTGAGAACCCGTTTTTTCATTGAGAATTTGATTTCTTGACTATGGGCATTGACAACAATTCCACAAATAGTAGCATCAAACAATTTTTTCAACTCTAAGTCAAGCACAAATTAGGCAGTTTTTTCATTTCAACCTTCATTTCGTATTGTAGAACTTTCAATTAGGCTGAAGAAAGTCTTTTATGAGACCGAAACATGTCCCTTATGATTATGTAACAACACCATTAAAATTTGTGGAGATGACTTCGAGCATTCCTTCCTTCCTTTGGGATACTCTAAACTGTTGAAGTGAGTTTATGAACGCACCCTATATACAAAAACGTCAATATGAATGTGTTGAGAACATTGAGGAACTGTATGTTCCTAGATATAGTTTTTTCTCTCTATTTCTTATTTCTACAATGTCTCTTCAATTCCAAGGTGATGTGGCTGGGCTACCCAGGCACCAGTGGCGCCAGCTTCATGGACTACCTGGTCACCGACGCTATCACCTCGCCGGTGGAGCTCGCCTCGCAGTACAGCGAAAAGCTCGCCTACATGCCGTACACGTACTTCGTCGGCGATCACAAGCAGATGTTTCCGCACCTGCGGGAACGGTTGATCGTCAGCGACAAGAACGGCCAGAATTTGGCCGACAACGTGGCCATCATCAACGCCACTGACTTGTCACCGTTGGTCGAGAGTACCGACATCAAGGAGGTTAGTAAGCTGGTGATACCGATGATCCTTGAATCTCGTCAAATTTTGCACTTGAGGGTTCATATAGATCGCGATTAATTCATAATTCATTGAAAAGTATACGCCAACAATCCTTAATGCCAAACACATATAACTGACTGAAATCGCGAATGGTGGGGATAATAGCGGAATCATGCCGTACACGTACTTCATCGGTACAAGCAGATGTTCTCGCACCTGCGGGAGCGGCTGATCTACAGGGACAATAATGGCCAGAATTTGGCCAAAGTTTTAGGGATCCTTGAATTTGGAAAAATTTTTCACTGAGGTTTTTAAACCTCAGACTGAAGAACATCAAATAGACACCGCGATTCATTCAATTATTGAAATTTTAAACGCCAAACACGGATAAATTAATGGAATCCAGAATGGTGAGGATAACTGCAGAATCGTTGCCAGAGAATTGATGTACTATGTAGATAAATTTAACATATATAGTAAATCGGGATTTCAATGGTCTTGGTGAGGTTATTTGATAATTTCAATACTTCAAACATGCTTTTCAACAACAAAAGCAAGCCATCATACAAAACTGTCACTGGACCCAATTTCTACATACTGTGAAATATTAGGTTAGACTTTTGTAACTTTTTTTTGTAACTTCTCTTCACAGATTTGACACAGCCAACCATATTTATTTACAAAATAATCTGCTTATGATTCATAATATTGAGTGAGATACCGAAATATTGTAACATTGAAAACTAAACACCCAACAGCCGGGAAACCATTGATAGCAACATAAACGACAAATGATATTTCTCACTACGATTATTGCTCGTCTACTTTGCGGTGCCGCCTAAATAATTCATACTTTTTATCTTCTTATGTACCTTACATTAACGTGAATATATAATTATTGGTAGTGCATTTCTAATAATCATGTTGTTAAGGGTGTATTATTAACTTCTGGCATAAGCTATTTTTTATGTCCAGTTAAATCAGACATTATTTCCGAAAAATCTTCTCAAATTATCGATTTGGCAGCGGTTTCACAGAGGAAAATTAAATCCAAAATCAATTGCAGAATCTCCCCTTCTGCAGGTTTGAGAAGATTCGTTTGGAGTGAGTGCATGTGCGGCACGAGACTCTGCAATTGTTTTTGGATAAACTTTACTCACACTTTTTAAATAGTTACTCTGAGCATAATACCTATATCAACTATATTCTAGTTGAGAATAAAGCGTGAGATATGGCTCATTTGACCTCGTTTTTCATTAGTCTAGACTAGACCCCTGGCGAAAGTGGTTAGTTTACCGGCTGGCTATCTCTTTACAGTCTAGAATAAAGTCAAAAGTTGAGGTGATTGACTATTAATGTTTTATTCCTAGTTATATCGTGAATTTCATTAATTCACCGATTTGGCGAAATCTGGTGAACATATTCGAAATTTTCTCGAAATTCTTTCTCATCCCGAGTAAAATCTATCAAAAACCTTTTAAGTTCGACATTCACTGAGTTTATCATTTGTATTGTTATTTTAGATCAAGGAGATAGTGAAGGCGAATAAGCCGGTGGAAATCAGCATGAAGGTGGCTGAGTTACCGACCACCACGCTCATCGAGAACATGATCGCCTCAGGCCAGGTGCAGACCTCTTTGAATGGGGTAGTGGTGCAAAATGGATTGGCTACCACACAGACGAACAATAAAGCAGCTACCGGTGAAGAGGTGAGTAGCGTCAGATAGAAGGAACTGAAAAACTTTTCTGATTGCGCATAAATATGTAGTATTTGATGCAATCATTCATTATCAAAAATATTCACATATATACTTTTTCCATAATTGAAAATCAGAACCGTCAGAAAAGTTATCTCTTGATGACGTGGTACACCGATAAGCATCGATAGTGTCATATTTCTTAACAGCCAATGAGAGCATCACCACGTAGCAAGAATTTACTTTCCCCAATGGGGTGTTCTGAGATACACACAATACATAAATAAAAAGATATTCCTCTCGCCTACTAACTAGGTTTTTATTTAGATCTCTATTCATCAATTATGGGTATGTTTCAGTAAAAAGTGTTATTTCATTATTTCAAAGTACTAACTCTTAACTGGTTCACTGTGGCAAACCATTTTTGCCTCAGAGCTCTGTACATGAAAACACGTGACGAGATCACCCGTGACCAATCCAATGCAACCATATAAGATTCGACTCACATATCCATCCTCTATGAAATGCATTTTTTACAGTGAATACCTACTGCAGATAACAGAGAACACAACACACAACTGAAGAATCAGATAATTTGAGAATTATCATTGAATATTCACCGTTAGGTTGGAGTTCTTGTTTTCTTGAAATTTTTTGAACCCTAAGCATTATGGTGTTGCCAGGGCCACAAAATAGTTTGGGTTCAAATAAAACCTCGATCCTTATTGGGAATATTAGAACGTTCTCATTGACATGAAGCATCTTGCAAGGTTTATAAATATCCAATAAGTGATCAATAGGGACCATGGGGAACCATTGTCGTCTGTGGATATGAATACTGTTGTGATTGGTCATATTGAATGTCATAAGGTGGATTTCTAGTTATAAATTTGGCAGCATCAACATATTTTATTTTTTTATTTTTATTAATTTATCAAACATATCTTCCAGTCAGAACAAGTTCTGGCATGAGGAAGAACATAATTATGGAATAATAAGTAATACATATTTACGAACTACTACACAAACATGAGTAGAAGTGAACATGAATAATAAATTATAATAAATCAGGATATCACAATAAATCACAATAAAACAAAACAATCAAAGAAAAGCATTATAGTCAAGGAATTTTAAATATGTGTTTATGATCTCATTGATTGTCGAGGAATAAAGGGAATATATCAACAAATATCACTATTGGTGCGCAGAAGGTGTATGACTTCATCGAGAGCTGGTGTTTTTCAAAGGTGCCGATTTTAAATATTGTAAGAAAAACAAGGTGTTTTTGAAATAAGTGCACATATTCAGCACATTAATTTGATACAGTCTAAGGAATATTCCCATCATATCAGATTTCTTCTAATTCTTATAATTAACGAGAAATTTCTTTCCAAAAATTGAACAAAATACGAGAAAAAAATCAAGTACACCACTTTAAAACAATTTGAATGATTGAACAGAGGTGACGTCAGATTTGCTACAGTGTAGAACTTTGGCTGGAAAAAACGGTCTAACCTTAAATTTTATTTTGATCCCTAATTTTTTTTATTAATGTCATTCGATAGTACATGTCGAGCTTTCTCAGTGTTTAAAATATTTGCACTTATTTCAATGCCACCCTGTATTTATGATGATTTTAAATGACGATTGATTGCATCAAATACTATTAATACTCGTAATGATCGAAGTAAAATAAGTATGTGGCGTAAATTCGAGTAGTGAGTACAGTGAGTGTTTTGTTCAGGTACCGCAGAACATCGTGATCACAACCAGACAGCAGTACGGCCTGCCGGACGATGCAGTCGTCTACTGCAACTTCAACCAGCTGTACAAGATCGACCCGATCACGCTGCACATGTGGGTGAACATCCTCAAGGCCGTGCCGAACGCCGTCCTCTGGCTGCTGCGTTTCCCCGCTGTCGGGGAGCCCAATCTGCTGGCCACGGCGCAGCACCTCGGTAATTATTAATTTATTTTTCGATTGTATCCTTGTTATTTACATTAATGAGATTAACCATCCTTATGAGAGCAATGAAGCCAGAAATTCTTTTCAGTAGGGGGTGCGGTTATTCATGAGCGACAAGGTGAACTTCTTTTTGTTGAGTAGCGAAGGGTAGAGATCGGTAGTGCAGAATATATTTATTGTTTATTTTTAGATGCAAACATGGGTGGGTGCCGATTTAAGACCTTTTGTTGAATGTATCATAGCCAAGAATTGGAGAAGAAACTACACAATATTGTTTTTCAGACTTGATTATCATTTCATCCAAAATTCTAATCTGACTCACCCTGTATTCTATAATCTACGAAAACAAAATTAAGAACCTCGCGAATTTTGTTGGCTGCCATTTTCCACGCTGACTGCTTTACGTTTCCTCTCAATTTTCCCAAATGTGTTCTATTTGATGGAAATTCGAATAGAGTAAATCGATTCCCAGTATTTTCACAATTATTATTTATTATTTGTTTTTTATTTATTTATCAAATCAAGTAACATATACAGATTTTCATTAAATATAAGTTACATATGTATTATTGTTATTAAAATAAGTTGGTTTTAGCCAACTTACCTATATCCAAAATCGTTTCGTTGAGTTGGTACAAGGCGTTAAAGTGCTCACCTTAGGTACTGAATATAGTTATCGCTAAATTTGTAATGCAAGAGTTCATGTAAAGCCCGCGAGGACCAGCAACATATCAGTTTGGTTACAATAAGAATACATTGTAGCCATGATCAATAAACAGTCTGACTAATTAGATCAATTTTCAAAAATGCGCAGGATGCATCATATCAGAAATTATTTATTTGCAAATGAACCTCGAGACATCAAAAATTAACACGATACAAAAAATATTTCTGAAGGGAATATCTTTCTGGAAAAAAAACTGGAAGTTTCCAGTCCGACCTCTGGAAAGTTATCACCAAATTTGTACGGCAACATGGTTGTGCGACACACTTTCAGGTCAATGATGTTGATCAAAAACATCTCAAAACGACTTACAGTCACAGAACATGCCATGCCAAAAATTATGAAAATCGATATCAGCCTACTATTTTTATGAGCAAAATTATTTTTTTCCAAAAAATCTTCAATGCCTTGTACCAACTCAACGAGACGATTTTGGATATAGGTAAGTTGGCCTGAATCAACTTGTTTTTATCCCAGGAGTCCACAGCCGAGCCATGTCCCAACCTTTCACAGACACCCTGTATATTAATTTTTTACAAACTTCACAGTGAGATAAAAACCTCAATGTTGGAAACTTCCTCATTGTGTCGAAGTGCATCAAGCAATCTTTCCTCCTTGCAGGCCTCTCCCCCGACAAGATCATCTTCAGCAACGTGGCCGCCAAGGAGGAGCACGTGCGCCGCGGCCAACTGGCCGACGTCTGCCTCGACACGCCCCTCTGCAACGGCCACACCACCAGCATGGACGTGCTGTGGACGGGCACGCCGGTGGTGACGCTGCCCGCCGAGACGTTGGCGTCGCGAGTGGCCGCCAGCCAGCTGCACACGCTCGGCTGCCCCGAGCTGGTGGCGCGCAACGGCAGAGAGTACCAGGAGATCGCCATCCGACTGGGCACCGACAAGGAATAGTGAGTTTCGCACCTCAGACTGAATAGCAATCGATAGATACCCTAATTCTTTCATAAATCATCGAAAAGAAAACGCCAACAATCCTAGACGCCAAACTCGCGATATCGCGAATGGTGGGGATAACTCTGCGGAATAACCATATGTAGACACCGCGATTCATTCATAAATCGTTGAAAAGTAAACGCCAATAATCCTGATCGGCAAACACGGACAAATGAATGAGGTCGTCATTCGGCTGGGCACCGACAAGGAATAGTGAGTTTCGCACCTCAGACTGAATAGCAATCGATAGACACCCTAATTCTTTCATAAATCATCGAAAAGGGAACGCCAACAATCCTAAACGACAAACTCGCGATATCGCGAATGGTGGGGATAACTCTGCGGAATAACCATATGTAGACACCGCGATTCATTCATAAATCGTTGAAAAGTAAACGCCAATAATCCTGATCGGGAAACACGGACAAATGAATGAGACAAGGAATAGTGAGTTTCGGATTGTTCACACAATTTAGTTCAAGCATCGGATTGTCCTCCTACTTAGCCCTAAGTGTCGGATGGTTCATTTACTTTGTTTTGAACGTAGGATTGTTCACCCATTATGCTTTGAGCGTCGGATTGTTCACCCATTCAAGCGTAGGATTGTCCCACTTTGCCCTAAGTGTCCGATGATTCATTCACTTTGCTTTGAACGTAGGATTGTTCACCCATTATGCTTTGAGCGTCGGATTGTTCACCCATTCAAGCGTCAGATTGTTCGTTTACTTCGCCTCCCAAAGTCTGATTGTTCACCCACTTCACATAACTAAACCTCATACTAAATATCAATGAATAGATACAGTGATTCATTTATATATCATTGAAAATTTTTCCGCCAATAATCATAAACCGGTTAATGAATGAAATCGCGAATGGTGGGGATAACTGCGGAATTATTGCCAGAGAATTGAGCTCTTTTCTATCTTGGACGAGACAGAGGGAAGTTCTCTCCTCTTCCATCTTTCTCTTTGATGATACCAACGTAGCCGCATTGAAATCTGTCTTTGTCTAACATCTAGTTTGTGCCACTGAACTATTTTTGAATTGTACAGAGTGTCAAATCAACGATATTAACAAAATATGTCAAAATGAGTATGATATAATTAGGCTATATTCCGAATTCAACTGGTCAGTACTGTCAATAAATCCACTGATTCTGCTGAAAATATGTGTTCCGAAATATAATATCAAAAGTCTGCAAATTCAGTACTGTCAAGTAATTTTAAAAAATTTTAAAGGTTATCAGACAATGACATTTATGACATAGACATATCACATCATAATTTGAACTAACTGAAATATCTCGCTAGAACTTGAATCAGTTATTGTGTTCTTTCCAAAGAATTTGATTAGTTAGAATGCATGGTAACTGATTCAGTTCAGTCATAGTGAAATATGTCAGTTAGTTCTGAAGGAAAGGATATCATAAGGCTTGCTGAACTTGCTAAAGTTGATTTTTTTCCATTGCTGTCTCTATTCATGGCATGATGTAAACAGAGAAAGTCTGAAAAAAATCAACTCCAGCAGGTAGAGCAAACACAAAGGAACAGGCCTATTATAATGAATACTTCAGTGGCGCAGACTAGAGGTTAGACAAGGAAAGATTTATCCGGATTTATCGGACCTGGGTAAATTAGCATATTAATGATTAATCTACTGTAGAAGTCCATATTATATCATTTTTAGTTTTAAATAAAATTTAATATCGAGTAAACAGGTATCATTATTTAAATTGGGGCCCGGTACCCTCGATATTTGCTAAACGACCCCGTACATTCGGTAGCAGCTGCTTGCTAAACATGTTCTAATAACCATTTTACCATGCTAATTATAACCATGTTTTTGCCTTTTTCTTCTCCACAATAATTTCTTTCTGGCTGATGATGGATACATTTTGGGTCCCCCTCCCTTCTTGAATTTGGAATTAAACGTTGTGGTGACGACTTGGAGAGTTTTTATTATATTTTATATTGATGATTTTCTTATACAGTGTGTCCACTTTAAGGACTTACCACCCCTGTCAAATCGTTATTATCTGACCGATTTCAAAAAACTTTTTTTTGTTGGATAGGTATTCGAAATGTCCATCCAACAAGAGAGTGATTTTACTCATGAACTGTAATCGTGGCCAACTGCGACCAACTTTATTGACCCATATTTCAGAAAGTACTATAAGGGATTTTTTTTCACAAAAAACAATGATGGATTCTGAATCACGATCACTTGAAAAACACCTTTACTGATTTTTATCATCATGGAACACAGGGTGTCCGAAAAAACGAATTATGTTTTTTTTTTTCAATAGGTGAACAGAAAATGTAGTATTGTGGTATTTTTGAAAAGAATTGATGACACATTATTATTGAGGATCACATTGAACATATCTGTACCGATTTTCATAATTCTTCACGGGGCTCTATCAGCACTAGAAATTAATGTACAAATATCTGGACCACCCTTCATATTCTGAATGTTTTGTTTGTTTCAGTTTGAAAGCGATGCGACATAAAGTTTGGACGGCCCGTTCCAATTCCCCGTTGTTCGATTGCAAACAGTACGCCCAAGGCTTGGAATTGCTGTACGGCAAGATGTGGGAGCGTTTTTCTGCGGGTCTCAAACCCGACCACATCACGGACACCACCGCTAAGAAGTAAACCAACTACACTTCATGTCAGTCGATCCATCAATTTTGATGTCTTGTAGGATCGATTGAGAACACTAAGGCCCTCCGCACACGGGTCGATCGGCGACATGGGCGACGCGATTCGAATCGTACGACGGTCTCCCCTCTACTCGACTTCCTAAGCAAAGCATCTGGATCCCGCACACGGGTCGTTTAGTGGTCGTCTAGAAACGTACGATTTAAGATCTCCTCGTTTTCAGTCTCACGCGATTAGCAAGGAAGCAGTTTGATCGAGTGAATCTTGCGTCTCAATGGAGAAAGTTGTTCAATCATTGTGAATATTTGTGTTACCTACCTTAGTTCTTTACATTCAGTAACTAGAACATATAATCTTATGTTTCCAATTTATACTCTCAACTTTAGGAACTATTTGATTTTTTGAAATATATGAATCTTACATCAATGTTATTAGCGAGGTTATTAGTATGTGTTCTTCTGCGCTGACACATTCCCTCATATTTGAATCCATATAATTTATGGCTGGAGCGTTTCCACTAAATCAATATATGATTCCTTCGACATTCTATAAAATGCCAGAAATTTTGTGTCACTCTCTTGCATTTCACTTGTAGTAACAAAAAGTCGAGTGTGAAAATTTCGTGCAATGTACGGATGCACCCATAAACTTCGTTGTCTTCTTCTTCTCCTGATCTGCCGGTGCCACAAAAACATGAATATGTCCTCCTCGCCATTGGAACTGCTCATTTTTAGCGAAACATTTCTTTTTGAAGTTGCAAAAAATAGAGTAACTAAGTTGATCAGACGCGAGTCGACTACACAAAACGTCGACCCATATGCGGATGACAAACACTCCCGTCTCTTGAATCGTACGAATGCAGAAATTGTGACGTCATTGCAATCGCGTCGCCCATGTCGCCGATCGACCCGTGTGCGGAGGGCCTTAAACAAACTGCCGATTGATGCGAACGTTTCCTCTGGAGTACTTTCCTTGGCTGTTCGGGTTGCACGTTTTTTGACGATGTTTTTTCTTGAAGTGAGGACGGGTGGGACCGCTTGGATTGATCGGCAGTGTATTTATGCGGAATATTTTTATCATTGAATGTTATTAAGTTGTTCAATGTTCTGATTTCGATAGTGACGATTTGAGGAAGACTTGTGTATATTTTTTTAGCTTAAGGAGATGTAATAATTGTGCTGAGCGACGTGTTGGCAGTAATATGATTTATTATATTTAGATGAGTTACGAATATATTCTTGAGTGTTTGATTATACCTTCGACATTCATTTATGGAGTCAAGTCAAGTCAAAAAGTGCTTTATTGTTTAAGAATGAGATTCTCGTAACAAAGCATGGACGATCAAAATGTAAAATATGAAAAAATATCGAATAATATAAATATGAGTCATTACTAAGTCACAAGTACTTATACGTTGATAAATGAAGACAACATTACAAATAATAAACTAACAAGAAACAAACACTAGACAATAAATTTAAAGCTTAAATTATGTCGAGGCAGAGCCTGCTTGTGGGGGATCAATAAAGTCAGTTGGAAAATAAACAACTTAGAAAGTAGTATCTGCTAGGAATTGGTCAACGGCATAATATGCCTTTTTGATCAGTAATTTTTTTACAGTTTTTTTGAATCTGCAATGTAGTGAAATGCCCTTGATCACATCAGGTAGGTGATTAAATAACTTGAGCCCATTATAAACAAAGGAGTTTTTTACAAGAGTCGAATTTGGTATGGGTAGTCTGATATTATTAGTATATGTCCTTGTATTATATTGATGTTTCACATTTTTATTGGCCAATTTCTGCCGTTTCTTGTGAATTAAACAAACAGTTTCCAAAATGAATAGAGCAGGTAATGTCATGATTCTCTGTTCCACAAACATTGACTTGCAGGAATCATTTAATTTTGCCTTACATAAATATCTCTAATTTCGTCAATGCTACTTGGAAAATTTCAATTCATGTCATGCATTTTTTATCAACATAAAGAGTGGTAGATACATATTTTGAGTATATTTTTTTGATTCATGATAATTCACTGGATTCGCAAGTTGTTTCACCGATTTGATGCAGTTTCCTACCTAATTTTTTTGAAAAATTGTAAAGCAGCAAAGTCATTTACTTCAAATGAGGACTAACGAGTTTTCATTATCAACCAGATCGCTCTAATGAGACAGGTCATACACAACTTTTTTTTTTTTTTCATTTGAACTCTCGATATATCGGAGACTGGAACCTTTGACACGATGATACACTACACACTGCTTTACCACTAACCAAACCGATTTCTTACATCTCGACACGTGTTTCGCTAACTATGTTAACATCTTCAGGAGACGATTAAAACTCTTCCCTTTGATCTTTCCCTGAAGATGCTAACATACACTCAGTTCCAAAAAAGGTGACGCACTTGATATTTGACCTATCTTCTTAAAAAATAAAAAAAATAGGTCGATTTTTTTTATTTGTCTTAAAAAAAAAATAAAGAGGTAAAAATTTCTTCAAAGCCTCCTTGATGATGGTGGATTAACTCGAACCATGATTTATTCTTAATTTTTGACTCACCCTGTGTGTTAATTGAGTGATGGCATAGAAAGTGCTTACACCACCCTATACGAAAGAGGCTTCTTTTGCCAGCATTTTGTTTCTTTATTCATTGATTTATCTCTAAAATTTTCCGAATTACCGCTTTTTTGCTGATACCTTACGCTTATCCCACAAATTAAATTTATTGAAGGATCAGAGTACTCAAAATTGATTGGGTTGTACTCTGGTAGAATCACATTGTCTTTAAAAAAACAAATGCCGTTGCCATAGCAACTAATTTGTTGTATGCCTCCATATTTGACCATTTGTCGTTGTGTCATTAATTAAGTGTCTTGTTTTATTGACTAAAATTACATAAAATGCCTCAAATAAATCCTGAGCAAGTAGCAAGATTAGTTGCGTTAGTAAAAGATGGGCGTAGTAAACGTTACGCCGCTCGTGCAGTGGGAGTTCATGAAGCAACTGCTCGTAGAGCAATCCGCAAGTACGAACAAACATAAAGCACCGCTCGGAGGGTCGATTCTGGTCGCCCCCGAAAAACTTCTACAAGAGATGATCGCTTCTTAAGCAGACGGTATGTAGACGTCTAAAAGAAGTTAATTTAAGAGCTAGGAGACCTGCAAAAGGACCCAAATTATTTCCCGAACATCGTGCTGCTAGAAGAAATTTTGTTGAAAATTATGGACAGTGGAATATTCTTGAATGGTCGAATGTCTTGTCCGGGTGATCCCTGCAAACTTGTCACCAAACGGCAAAGTTCATTGCTAGGTTGCTCAGAGTACTGAACTGGTATACTATACAGGGTGGCTACAAAAAATTGGATCACTCTGTATACTTGAACCGGTTTACTCTAAGTCATTTTTGATATCAATAAACAGATTTGTACATATTTTTATGCAAAGGTCAATTAAATGTTGAATGTCAATTTCAAATTGATAATTTTCATTATTCAATATATGTTTGGGATTTGAGCAGTAGATAACATGGTCAGTATAATTTATATTTCCTAATTTTATCATCTTGTTCCATTTTTTCGGGTTATTGCAGTGTAAATAAATGGTTAATTTTTACAAGGCGACAGAAATGTATTCAATGTTTATCAATATTATTTCATTTCATGTCAGCAAACATAAAAAAAGTTTCCATTCTCAGGACTACTTAGACAAGAATTAGGATACCTCCTTGGTGTGTGATTATCACAGTGAAACTAAGATGACCGAGAAGATGACACTTCAGATTTGTATGTATTAACCTATTGAAATAATACATACACACACACAACCATACACTGTTTCTATAGATTTTTGGAAAAAGAGGTCTCATATCAGCCTCCAGGACTTCTTTGTGAAATTTGGAGAACACACTGCAACACTGCAGAATGGCTAGTTATCAGAGAGAGATAGCTATATAGGTAGGGACTAATACGTCACGACTCCACCTTCATAGTTCATATCTTGCTCTTTCAAATATCGAATGGAATATGCTGATTTCAAAACTCTATATTCAACTTTCACTGATAATATTGTTTGTACATTAAATTTGAATTATGAACCATATTGAAAGAGGATTGGACAGATTTCATCCCTCAGTGGTCTTCCCCATTGTTCATACAAACTTTTCTTCATGATGAGGTACAATAAGAAATCATCTCTTGAATTTTCGGCAAGGATACTTAGGAAAATCCTGTACATCACATTGGAACACATATTCAGTATATAATGATAATAATAATACAACACGACGTCCCTTTTGAATAGCATACAATAGGTCGCGTGCACGCGATGACCGACCCTGGAGGCAAAATATTGAAACACAACCTCACTCTTCTGTGAATTATTGAAACACAACCACACTTTTTCATTTGTTTACAGAGGAATCAAAAGGTTGAAATAGTTTTTCACAATATTTTGGCATACGAATCGTGTTTCTTGCGTTATTCATTAATTCAAGCATGCCTTCGCATTGTGCTGTTGTACAATATACAAAAAATGCAGCAAGAGACTAGGGATTATGATTTTTCAGGTAAATAGTAATCTCACATAGTTATCATTATGAAATGTTGTCATGCCTTATTAAAATTCCTTCTGCCATCTGCCACTTCTGCAATACAAGCTAATACTGCTAATAGATTGAAAATGTCTACAACACACACGATCGTCAGTATGTCAGACCAGTCCTCCCGATTGATTGCATATGAATCCAATCTTCTTGCATTATTCCAGAAATTTCAGGTATATTTCTATTAGCTCTTATTGCAGAAGGAATTCCGATGAGAAATCAGAGAAATAACCAAATTTCAAAAATGAAAACTATATGTGAGTGACTATTGTAGGTACTTACTTTTAAATCATAAGAATGTACCGGATTCCTTCATCTTCTGCTGCAGTTTTTGTGCATTTTACAACAGCACAATGTGATGGCATGAGCGAATTGATAAATAGCGGAAAA